CCCCCCCCCTCAAAAAAAAAAACAACAAACCCTATCTAGACCCGAAAGGGATAGTGGTGTTCACGGTACACCTCCTCTCCGCCGCACAGCCGCCAATGCTGCGGCCGCCACCTACCACTGCGCTGAGCCCTGAAAGAAGGCTTGGCTGCTTGTAGGTTTAATATGGGGGCTTAAAGAATTACCTATAGCCTCTTAAAGGTGTTGGGCCATTATTCTACTTACTGTCAGGGGTCTAATGTAGGGGCCTTACTAGTTAGATTAGGATTTTGAGGGTTCCTTACTACAATTAAAGTGAGATATACCCCAAGACCCTATTCGAACTATTAAGGCCCCTACATTAGGGTTTATAGCACTTCTTTTGACTAGTTCTCTAAATAGGGTCCCTTTAAAGGGTTCCTTAAAGGGATCTACTCCGAAAGGTTGATCCCTGGATCTCTGAGTAGAGACGCCATAACAATTAGATTAGGTTTTTGGGGGGAAAGCATACCATGCTTGGTTTTATATGAAGCAACCTCAATGAGTACTTGACACTATTCTTCTTGCTACCGCTTCCCTTAACGCTGCAACGGTGTATGGCGTGGGCACTGGCTTAGGCTTTAGACGTGTCGGTGTTAGTGACCTTGAGGGTACAACTGAAGGCGTCCACGGAAACTTCACGAACCCGCATGTCGAAGGCTTCAGGTGCGTCTAGGCCATTCCTTAGCCAAAGGCCAAGCCCGAAAACCTAAACCCCATCCCCCGAAACCCTAAGTCGCGGTAGCACACTCTTGCCTCCTTTGAGCCAGGGCCTCTCGAGGACATAACTGAACCCGACCGGATCTAAGTGGCTAACATAGGCATTCGGAGAAAATCACATCAAGGTTTTGGGGGTATCTTTGTCGCATATAATATACATAGGGGATGCTATGACTGTAACTGATAATTCCAACACATATTTTGACCACTCCGTGCAATACTTCGGTCATGTTTCGGGCGTGCCAGAAAAAGGCGTACTGTGGGCTGCCGGGCATGTCGGGTTTAATTTCCACCAGTATCCCATCAACTCTCGGGGTACCCTTTCCTACTGGGAGACCCCAACCTGAAACCCTAAACCCTAAACCCTAAACCCTAAACCCTTAAACCGTTCCCTGCAGGTCTTCGCTGCTGCGGCGTGAGGAGAAGCCTGCGAGTGGTCAAGGCCACCGACAGTTAGGGTTTAGGGTTTAGGGTTTAGGGTTTAGGGTTTAGGGTACCTGGAAACCTACACTGAAGGAGGGGTTTAGGGCTTAGGTTTCGGGTGTACCTTGAGATCCGATCCAACATCCTATTGCTTTAAGGGCGTTGCCGAAAATGATAGGATCTCGACTTTCCTGTAATGTCATACGCAACCCCTTTCTTGAGGGTACCTTCTGTTCGATGTCACAGATCCTAACCATAAAACTGATATCCCCCCCTCAAGCAGGGGTGGAGCATGACCCTATGGGTACGATTATGGAGAGCTTGTATTGGTTCAGAGTGTGAGGTCTTAAGCTTTGGGCTGCAAGCCGCCTAAACCCTAAACCCTAAACCCTAACCCCTAAACCCTAAACCCTATGCCGGAAAGTATCGATAAAGCCTTTAGTCTCTAGTTTAAGGCCTCCAGGCTCCAGGTGTCGGAGTTGAATGAAATGCGGTTGTTCTTGAATTTCCTGCGTTTCCACAAATACAGGGCCATTTTTAGGAACTTTGAGCATCTTCTGCTTGGTGGTTTAACTGCTTCCGAGTACTCAGGGTTTAGGTTTTAAGGTTTAGCTTCTTGTTCCTATATATTGTTCCACTATTGGAACGCAGGTTGGCTTCCAGAAGATTTACAGGGCCACGTCAAGCCATAAAAGCGCATGGCGTTCTTTATTGTTCAATACCCTGTAAGGCTCCTGGACCCTTGTAGTGAGATCCCAAACCCTAGCCCCCGAAGCCGAAACCCTCCCCCAGAAAGCCCAAGACCCTTTTAGGAGCCTTATAAGGTATAAGACACTTCCAGGAGATTCGGAGCTTACTGTAAACGTGTTGCTCCTGGGCATCGGTGACGTAACAGCTCTTGTCAATTCAAGAGCAAGTTTGCTTTCATGGTCTTACAAATTTCAATCATTGCTGTATGGCCGTGCGCGCTCAGACTTTTGTTTCCCCGGTCTTTTGAGAGTTCTTCCAAAGCTTAGGTGTTGCTGACCTTGCAAGGGAATTCAAATCGCTTGTACCACTCTAGGCTATGGGAAAAATTGTAAATTTCCTATAAAGAAAACGCAGAGTTTCATTGGCTTTCGTATATTTCACAAGGAAGAAACTTTTTGACTTCTTCGTCGGACTGATCATAGTGCCAGGGTCGTATGAGAGCTACTCAGGCCTATCAGGCCGCTAGAAATCTTTACTCCTAATGATAACTTGAACTGTTGACAACTTATAACCCTAGTTACTAAGTTTCATGATCCCTTAAGTAAGGAAGCGGAGACGGTCATTGTCCTTCCTATGTTGTACCCGGCACGAGAGGGTAGAGGGTTCAGGGAATCAGGGTTTTCGGTTTGGGGTCCGTTGTTGTAGTGCACTTGGAGGATCATGGGATTCAATAAGGAAGGTTATAATTGCCTTGATTGTGTTTTTTGAGCAATTTCCCGCATAGATGCGTCGTTTATGACCTTGGTTACCAAGTCCCATGATCCTTTCAGTCATACATGCCCTCGACTTGTCCGACCACACTTGCGTGCAATGTCTTCCGGACCCTGTAAGCCCCGAATGTTCTTCTCCTGACCAGGATTTTGCAGATCCGACACATAGACCAGGAAGCCGACGTGAAGCCGCACACCTTGTGTACCGAACCCGAAACCTCATGGGGAAAGGCGTGATAGACGAAAGACAAGGCCCTAAACTCTGTATCCCCCCTCAACCGAACGACGTCTTGAATTTGGCTCCTTGTGGCCTTTGCTTCATTTCCGCAAGGTTTCATCGCCTGGCTGTGGCAGGTGCCCGGGGTTTCGGCTCAGGTTGAGATTCGACGTGTGCTTTGCTACTTGGAGGTTCATGCGTAGTTATAAGTGGGGTTATAAGTAGGGTAACTATAATGATAACCCCTTTTAGGGGACTTTTAACCCTACTTATAAACTACCGATGATAGTTAACCTGCAATTATAGCAACTATAGCCCATATTAGGGGACTTGTAACCCTACCTATAACTACCCATGAACCTCCAAGTACTAATATAGGGCCTTAGCAATTAGAGTAGGGTTTTGGGGGGCCATTATAC